ATAAAGTGTCGCGTGTGCCTGCAGTATTTTCAGCTATAGACTGATAATATATATATATATATATATGATAAGTAATATATCTGTGATATATTACATATATTTCACAGATATGTAATATATCTGTGAGTTACAACATTGTTGAACGATAAGGTGCATTTCTCGAAGATGATGCGTGTGGCAATGACTGTTGCTTGAGTAGTGGAATAAAAGTATGGGCAAGTTGGATAGTGTTCGGTATATTATACGATAAGAGAAATGGTTTGTAATAATTATATTGTGATACTGGTATAAATATTAGTGAAGTAGGTGACGTAAAAGTATCTAAAAGACTCATGGCTCCAATGTACATTGGCAAGTATTTTGTTATGGGAGTTGTTACCCTGTAGACACATTAGGATTTTTTGGAAGCAGGAAAGATGAAATGAGCAACCGCCTTTGCCGGGAATTGAACCGCGGACTTCTGGAATATGCGTCCAGCGTGCAGACCACCACGCCAAGAAGGCTGTAGAAATATCTTATATACTCCACCTTTTAAAGGGCGAGTGGGGTTTTAGGGAATCCAGTAGACAAATCCTGGGCGTGGAGAATTATCATTCACCACCCTTTTAGTTCGGGCGCCACTGTAGAGACATTAAATAATTTTTGGAAGCAGGAGTGATGAAAAATGAACAATGCCCTCGCCGGGAATCGAACCACGGAACTCTGGAATACGCTCCCAGCGTTCAGACCACCACATCACGAAGGCACGCCAAGAAGCCTGGAGAGATACCTTATATACTCCCCCTTTTAAAGGGTGACTGGAGTTTTTAGGAAACCCAATCGCCAAATCCTGGGTGAGGGGAATCATCATCAAACACTCTTTTAGTTTGGGTGCCACTGTAGAGATTTAGGATTTAGGATATTAGAAGTTTTTGGAAGCAGGAAAGGTGAAAAATAAGCAACTGCCGTCGCCGGGAATCGAACAGCAGACCTCTGGAATACGCTCCCAGCGTGCAGGCCACCACACCACGAAGGCATGCCAAGAAGGTGGGAGAAATACCTCATATACTCCCTCTTTTAAAGGGCGACTGGGGTTTTAGGGGACCCAATCGCCAAATCCTGGGTGTGGAGAATCATCATCCACCACCCTCCCTCTTAGTTCGGGCGCCACTGTAGAGACATTAGATAATTTTTGGAAGCAGGTGTGATAAAAAATAAGTAATACCCTCGTCGGGAATCGAAACACGGACCTCTGGATTCGCGCCCAGCGTGCAGACCACCGCACCACGAAGGCATGCCATGAAGGCGGGAGAAATATCTTATAACCCTATTGAAACAACAAAAATTCTTAGCAGCAATAGCCCGAATGTACAACGCAGCACCGAATAAAGTGTGGTAAATCATCAGATCTCTTGAAGCAGGGGAAACAAAGAAACACAAAGTGGACCATTTCGCTAATATATGGTGTATATCAAATTCTAAAATGCGCATAACATGGGATTTGGTAATGATAAAATGTCTGAAGCCTAACAAATGCATTACGTTTATCAATCTATGGCTGCAGATATAGCGAGCATGCGCAAAACTTTATCACTCTCTTTCGAGAGTCTCGAGTGATTGCGCAATGCCACATTTTTAATTTAATGCTTTATTCACACGCTTTATAACTCCTTTGTGACTGTTTTCGTCAAGTCTTATGCTTTTTCCTTTTAGAATTGTATTTGTAACATTCAGAGTGAGCAAAGACTTGAGTAACCGAATCGTCTGGCAAGAGCTGATTACACTTAGGTAAAATAGGCTTGCGGTTGCTATGGGTACCAGAAATAAGAAGAAAATGTAGTTCATGAGAAAAACGGTGTCGTATCAAAAAATTCAGGATTTCTTTCCTAAGGACGTTTTATAATATCAAGTCAATATTGCTTCTGGAAAAAAAACAAAGCTTAGAAATTATGATTTACACGAATCAGGTCCTATTAGTACTCTTACTGCTATCCAAAAGAATACAGACGTTATGATTCTCTTTTTTATACTAGTAAGCTATGTAATGTTATATATTTTGTAGAATATCAATTTTATGCTGCATAAATTGGTAACACGCTATTGTTTACAGATTTGACTAAATATCTTGTCATATGGCATGTGTAGGAAAAAATTAATTATCTCAGAATATTAAATTAAAGCTTTTCTAAGATCAGTATTATATGTTTTGCCCTGGTGAGGATAAATAACGAGCTAATTTCAACATATTTATAAATATTACGTACAATAAATTTTTTATCCATTCTCTTTTTAGGCTGCGGCCGAGTTGTCGCAATGAAATGTACTGCAGTAAATATTCGCTTGCAGAGTTTTCTGGTTCCTCTTATATTTTGGTTTAAAGTTTGATAGCAATTCATAGTTTAAACATATTACATTCACTATTTCCAAAATATTTGCTACAGAATATCACTGGTAATTTCAAATGAAAGATATTGAATTATTATGATTATATTTATTATTAATCAGCGTCTATCAGAGATTTTATTGGAATGAAAGAAATGTAAGAAATTTATTTGAAATATAAGAAATTTTTATTTATTAATTTTTTACAGCAAAAGGTATCGTAAAGTCTTCATACTCATATTTTCTTTGTTTCCATTTTTTCTTGTAAATAATAGTATGATAAATATAAGCTTTTTTAAATACTTAAACGTGCCGACTTGTGAAATATTAAAACAAAGTGAAAGCCCTCAACATGTGAATTTTCATTGGAGGATTATGAATGAAAAATTTCGTTTAATTATTTAAATAGCTTTCCATGTTAGAGAGATTTCTAGCTATGTTTTCTACGATTCGCTTCTTTTTTATGAATACTTAAAAAATAAAATATTTAAAGCTACGAAAATTCCTGATAGCATAGCACAACTGCAAAAATGAATATTAAAACATAACTGCGTCCATTTGTCAGAATCTCGTGATTTAACAAACTTTTAATTACAGCTTTATGATGGAAAACATATTGTGTGTTAAGAATTAGTTTAGAACACAGTATTCACATGAACTATATTGCACACATGCAAATAATTAATAAGCATAACTTCGGAGAACCTCAAAAGAAAATTTATCAGTTATGCGTTCTACATATAAAATTTTTGTTCTATGCAAACTATTAAAATTAAACTTAAACAAAAAACAGTTCCAATCGTAGATGCAAATAAGTAATCAGCCGCAAGATTAAATTTATAAATTGTGTAAGAAATTAACCGGTTGATTAAAAGAGAACGGTGGATAACTGTTGCTTTGCTGGAAAAAAATCAAAAAGGGGAGTAAATTTGCCAGAATTAAACGTACTCTATAGTACTTTAAAACAGTTCTCTTCTGAAATTATACACAGACTCCAGCACTTGCCCCACGATGAGATATGCAATTTGAAAGTAATTCATATAAAATATATCTAATATCCATTGGAATTTGACCCGATGCACAGTCCCTAAATTAAGGATAATTCAGAAGCACATGGAAATCAAACTCTAAAGTAAAAATAATCACCTGTAGGATTATCTTCAAGAATAATATGCAAATTACAAGAAGCCATCAGATGGCGCCGATATTACGTCACAGTGATGAGATGTATATAAGAAAAGGCAGCAAAGAAGTAAAATTGTTCACAAGCATTCTCGCTCAGTGCTACATCCGAATCGTTATGACACAGAGGATGCATGTGGATGAATTTTACGTGTTAAAACTATCAGCCGCCTTGAACGTGGGCGTATTCAGATGGAAGTATTCGAGGAACTTTAGCCCAAAGTGTCATCTCTAGGCTTTGGCAGTGATTCCAAAATGATGAAAATGTCAGTAGATGGTATAGTACAGGTCGCTCTCCGAGTTCCAACACCGAATGACGACCAGTATTTGCTAGTAACTGCCAAAGAAGCAGACGGAGCGTAGCATCAGACCTGTCTCGTCAGCTATCTTCAGCCACAGATATGACAGTTCCAAGGTAAACCATGTAAAGACATTTGGGACAGATTGATCTACATGCTCGCAAGCCTGTCAGATGTGTTCTGCTCACGGCAACTCACTGTCGCTAGCGGTTAACCTGGAGTAGAGAACATGCAATGTGGACATCGTCACATTGGGTTTGAGTGATGTTTTCCGACGAGTCCAGGTTTAGCTTTCAGTCTGATCCACATCGGACTTTCATATGGAGAACTTCAGGTACCATCTACCACCAAGACATCACTGAACGACACCGCTACGGTGCTGCAGGATTGTTTGGTTGAGGTGCAATTATACAAGGCTCCAGAACAGATCTGCGTGTTCAGATCGGAATTATGATTTGAACCATGATCGGTATGATTTTTAGAAAACAATGATAGGCCTTCAGTTTTGGCGCATAGTCAACTCATAACACTATTTGCATGAATTAAAAATGAAATGTTAGAACACGATCTTAAGAAAATTACTAACGGATTTTTAGCATTAGAAAATTTATGAATTACTTGAGTGAAATGATTTTAACATGTCGAATATAATTATATATTAGAATTATGAATTAGAGAATGTTACACACTAATAAATCGTAAAGAAAAATCTCTGAATATAGTTAAAGAAGAAAGTTTAAGCTTGAATTATTTTAATTTATTTTTAAGCAATCTCTCAAACAGAAGAAAAAGCTAAATGAAAATTGAAAAATCTTAAGCTTTGAAATACATTATCTCGGTCAATTTGTCGCATGGACAGAGGAACCGTATGAAAAATTTTCATTATTTTAACGAAACTGACTTTTAAAATTTTCTAAATGCCGTAATATGAGTATTTGCAATAATTAAAACAATTGTGTAACTAGAAATACGAGTAAAATGCATTAATTTTATGTTAAAATGTTTTAATAACAATTATACAATACTTTTCTTTAATTGTTTCTACATAAAGTAACCTATCGCATATTGATCCACTTTGAACATTATTTTTAAGATATATTTTTCTAAGGATGAGAAGGGATTCTCCGAAAAAAGTAAGATTTTCTTAAAGATACCTACCCAAGGATTCCGTGAATCGACAAAGGCCACTGCGTTAGAGTGATGTTCTACGTTTTATTTTCAGGTATGTCGAGAGCATGTTACTCTGCATTTATCATGTCATGAATTCCTCTTTTGCACTTCCAAAGTAGTCGTTAGCTAATTTTATGATCACATTGTATTAATTAGAAAATCCTAAGAGAAAAATAAAATAAAATTTATCATACTTACTAGCGTTTGCTGATGTATAAGTTTACATTCTCTCTTTAAATTTTAAATTATATATATTATAGGATCTACCTCTTTTAGGCCACATAAACTAATCTAGATACTACTAATGAACCTGGCGACTTCTCACAGGCGTGAAAGAATACTAGCACAGAAGAAGTGTGAAAATAACCCATTATTAATATCAACTATGGAACAGAAAGGCACGTACTTCGTGCTTAACAGTAACATCGATAACTTGCAGTGAAACTTAAACATTATTACACAAATCAATTCAAGTCTAAAAATAATAGCATGTTAAGTTACGGCTAAACTAGTTTGACTCGACAAACCTATCCGGTGTGATAATTTTTCAAATGGGCAAAAGGCGTATCAGTTTTAACAGCAAGGTCTGAAACGAAACGTGCGCTGGCTAGCGAAAACAAGCTCTGAATAAAACTCCAAAATTTCCCCGTTTAAATACTCACTTAATGTAACTTTAAATTTATATCCTGACGAGAAAATGCAAGGGGAAGTTGAGGAGTTCAGAGGAACAGAGTTTTGGTGATTAATCAGCATTACTTTAGGAAACAGATCCAGATATCGGGAGGGAATGCATAGCACTGTTTTGGCAATGGCTGCACTTGCAGTGGTAATGCGATATTTGCATTGAAAGTACTGACTTGTCCAGTGTAGGTACCATATTTGACTTTGACACTGCAGTCCTCAGTTTTATCCTCAAGCTTGTTCATCAATCTCGAAGATACAAGGCACTGTGGCGTCGCACTTTCTAACCTTACCAACAAATTGCGCCACAACAGAGGAAATAAACGAGCTGACGTCAAGTATGCTGCAAGTAAATAAAAAGAATAGTGTCTACATTTATTGTAGAAATTTAACGACATACTTACAATTTCATTAATTCTTCGGATACTTCCAGGACACCTGGTGGTTGCGAGAATTTTTCCGCTTGTAACCAATCTTCAAAAAATTTTTAACTAATTTATTGAAGAGAAAATTCGCGAAAATTTGATATCTGTTAATTAAACCAACTGTTGCACAAAAGCTGATTGCATGAACCATTTGCAACAGTGAAGACACAGTTTGCACTCTTCTCATTTACATATCTTTATTAATTATACCTCAATTAGATGTCTTTATTGATTATATAGTTTTCTTACTGTTTCGAAAAAATTCCATTACGTACCATAAACATATCACCTTTTTTATACTTTTAACCGCCGGAACCATCTAATAAGCTTAAAAAGGAAGAGGTCTATCATTTTAGTTTTCATCCCAACAAAAATAATATCTAGCAAATAAGCCTTTCTTATTTCGGTATTCTTCTTGCCTTCTGCCATATTATTTCTCGGATTAAACGTGGAAGTAAAGGATAAAGTTTTCAATATCTTTTGGATGGAACCAAATATGGGAAAGCTCAAAACTGAACGAGTTGCACTATAAACTCAATGATTAAACTATATACGGAAGGAAATAACGGTACTCACTTTATCATGCAAAGCTTGAATTTCGTTCCAAATTTTACCTTTATAGTTTCCAAACAACGAACAAAATACTAGATTTCAAGCTCATTATTCTTAATAAATCATTTTATAGGAAATGGCTAAAAACAGTTTAATGATTTGCATAAGAAAAGAAATCGGAAACACTTGAATGTCGATAAAGAATTATATTTATAATGTTGAAGGCATAATTTTGGTGCTTAACTGCTATACTAAATTATGAATGCATATGTCGATGGATCTATGTTGGGAGAAAAATGTAATCCATCGAACTACAAATGCATGAAAAAAATATCCACTGGCTTAAAAAACTCAGGAAAAACATTTTTAGTGGACATATATGTATTTGTTAACAGTTTTTAGAAGAATCATATTTAAGAACGAGATAAATGAAGAATTTCCAAAATATGTATTTGGCCAAGGTTTTATCTATTTACACCTCAAAGGAAACTTTTTCGAGTTGTTTATTGTTTCATTTCATGGATCTTGTGTTCTGGAAAAATAGAAAAGGGAAATATTTGTTCCAAACCTTGTGCAAGCAATCCAGTGAAATATATGCGCATCTACGTCTTGAATTATTAAGCCTTTTCTTTCTTAAATCAGTGAACAAGTCTCATCTGACGTTAATTTCAATAAGATAATAGCACAGAATTGTTTTCCTACCATATGATTTTAACATTTCAATTATTGCTCAATGCCAATTATAATATCTAGAAGTTTTTAGAATACTGCGAAAGTTCTACAAATTTTTCAGACATTTGAATTCTCTTTGACCCACCTCGAGGAATAGTGTTGTCATATTATTTAATTTAGTCTATTTTTTTATTTTTCGCTTGATCTATTGGATATTACTTTAGTTTTTAAATTTGAAAAACTACTTGGATTAATATTTAGAGGAAGGCGGGAGTCACAAGATAAGTATTATCAACTGCAAAGGCATGACATTAGTAGGAGAAAATCATTAAACTGAACAATGTTCAAGAGGACTTCACAAAAAAGCAAGATAAGGCTTCAAGGATGGCAGAAATGGGGAAGTTGTGTTATGTTCCTCCTTTCATCTAAGTGTTGAGGAACCTAGAGAAATGCTAATCGAATAATCTCTTAAGCCGCGAACAGAAACGTAAACTCAAGAACGGTTAATTACCCTTTATTGCTTGCTCCAAATAAAGATTCACAGATGGCCCCTTTCTCAGGACGTACAACAAAGCCTCCACTTGGGCTTAAACTAAAAAATGTAAGAAATAAGACTAAACTAATGACTAACTAAAAAGATTTAGCCGAAGCTAACGCAATTTCTAAACTAGTTAGACCGTAATTTTAAATTAGCTAACGAAGTTATCTAAAGGTACGTAATACGGCCAGCGTAGTAACAGTTAGAGAGACGTAGCTAAAAGGCAGATGCACGCTATTGAGAAATCCTAATTCTCTCTCTCGAAGTCAGTGGAACTTCGACTTAAATACTGCTCTACTTCACATTTGCATTTAACGCGATTCTAAAAACTCGTTCTTGTAAGGAATTGTAAGCTGAAACTAGAAGAGACAAGAAAGTCGTAAAACTTAAAAATTACTCATACTTAAAAATTACATATAAAATTAGGATATACCTTAACGTTGTACGAAATCAGGTTTCAAATATTTAAGTATTGGCAAAACGGCCTGTCAATCAGAAGCATAAGCAGTTCAGCATTGCCGCTAAATGGTTTAAACTAAGATTCTTATACCTATCCAAAATCAATATCCAAATATTATAACTGGGAAATGAAAGAAACATGTAATTACTCTCAAGCCAACAAATTCCCAAATTGAAAATCTGGGAATGCGCGGTAAGAGTGCAAAAATTAAAATCCTCTTCCTGGAACCGCATTCATGTAAAACAACAGTTTAATAATTTAACATATATAGAGACATTAGGTTATTTTGATGCTGGAGAAGTAAAAAATGAGCAATGCCCTCGCCAAGACTTGAACTTGGACCCTTGAATACGCTCCGAGTGTGCTACCGTTACACCATAAAGTTGTGCAGAAAGGAGGGAGAAATATCCTTTATAACCCCCTTTTAAAGGGCGATTGGGGATTATGGAACCCAGTCGCCAAATCCTGGTGGTAAAAAATAAAAAATCATAATCCACCACTTTTTAGTTCGGGCGCCACCGTACAGTCATTGGGATTTTTCTGAAGCGGGAGACGTGAAAAATAAACAGTACCTTCGCCGGGACTCGAACCTGAACATCTCGAATACACGCCGAATGTGCTACCATTACACCATGAAGCCATGCAGAAAGGAGGGAGAAAATATCTTATACAGGGAGAAAATATCTTATATATTCAGTAGTGGCCTGCTATGACCATGAGACCAACTCGTTTTTTTAGTTGGTTCGGGTTGCGCCCACTTCTGGTACCTTACACATTCGCAAAACGCAGACATAGTCATACGGAGGGGGCTTGTTCATTGCAAAGCATATTTCTTCTTTTGGAAGTTATAGAATAGCTTTCTTTCATCTTACGGTCTTATAAAAATTCGAATGAGCAGAGGAAAGGGGGAAAAACTAACTTCATAAATGAAATCATTTGGAATAATATACGTCTTGTAGGTAGAAATTCGAAGAAAGTAATGGAAGACTGCGAATGTAAACAATGGCGTTGTCAACACGGAAGACGCCTTTTTTATCGTCTGCAATGCATATTCAAAAGGGGGGGACACAGTCAAGCAAACTCAGTTTCAGGCGAAAACACTTACATTCTAATTCACAACATGCTACTCTTTTAAATCTAAAATGCCTCCTATTCTTAATTTATAAAATTATTAAAAAAAGGAAAAACTTTTATGAAGAAAAGAATTCATCGGGCAGATTTAAAAAATTGGCTCAAATATATTATGCATAAATTTCATTTTGCACTGAAGAATAAGTGAAAAAAATGCTTGAGTGTATATACATTCAGAATAATAATATAGAATCAGAATTTGTTTTCGACAAAATCCTTTGACTTTTATTCTAATGAAAAACAAGTCGTTAGTCTTTGAAAGTAACTTCATCCATGCTAGGTTATTTTTAGATGATGTTGTTAGGAAATACGTAGAAAAAAGCGCAACTGCAAATACGATCGATGCTGGTTATGAGATCATAAATTCTATTGTTTTAAATAAGCAAGCATAAAAATCTATCAATATGCAGAAAATAAGTGCATTTAAAAAATCGTCTTCTATTTCTTTTTCAACTTGGAAGACGCTTGCTTTTAAACTAAAACTAAAAGTGGCATACTGGAAACGTTTTTCTGAGAGAATAAAATTCTTGAATCAAATGCTCGACTCCAAAGAAAGAAGCCATAAAAGTAGCAATTTCATTTGAACTACGAAAAGAAGCCTTTCATGACTGTATAGAAAAAATGTTAATTTAATTTTATTTACTTCGAAACTGAGATTATTTTATTTGGTGTTTATATTTGAATTGAAAATAAACGTTTTAAA